TGTTGTCAGGTGCCATCGGACGTTTCCACTAGAAAGTTTGACATTTTTGACCATAATTTTCTTGAGAACGTTTTGTTATTTGAGCGCGATTTGTATTGTTTACAGTCACTTGAAAATTGTGTCTCAGCGAAAAAATGGAATTAACTCGTGAAAATTTTCGTGCAATGATTTATTACGACTTTCGACTTGGATTATCAAGACAGGAGTGCATCGATCAACTTACTTCCACTTTTGGCGATAAAGTTCCATCCTTTGCCACTGTGAAACGCTGGTATAACGAATTTAATCGTGGTCGCCGTTCGCTCACCGACGAAAGTCGTGAAGGTCGTCCAAAATCAGTTGTTGTGTCAGAAAACATTGATGCTGTGCAAAAACTAATAATGCAAGATCGTCATGTGACATACTGTGAGATTGAGACAACCTTGGGCATTAGTTCCACCAGCATATATGAAATATTGCATAATCATTTAGCCGTGAAAAAGATTTGTTCTCGTTGGATCCCACATAATCTGACAAAATCTCGAAAAGATGCTCGTGTCGATTGGTGCAAACAAATGCTTAAGAAATACAATGGCGGTGCTTTAAAAGATGTGTATAAGATTGTAACAGGTGACGAATCATGGATCTATGCGTATGAGCCGGAAACTAACAGCAGTCGACTGTATGGGTGTTTCAAGATGAACCAAATCCAACAAAAGTTGTTCGCGCTCGAAGCACTTCGAAACAAATGGTCGCCTGTTTTTTCGGAAAAACTGGTCATGTGGCAACAGTGCCTTTAGAGGAACGTAGAAAGGTCAATTCTGAATGGTACACAACCGTTTGTTTGCCGGAAGTCTTCAGTGAAATAAGGAAAACAAACAAGCGCCGCCGGATCATTCTTCATCAAGACGATGCCAGCTGTCACACATCTCGTCTAACAACCGACTATTTGAGCACTCAAAAAATCGAATTAATGGGTCATCCGCCGTACAGTCCTGATTTGGCACCAAATGACTTCTTTTTGTTCCCGAACGTCAAGAATAAATTGCGTGGACAACGATTTTCGTCGGCAGAAGAAGCCGTTGATGCGTTCAAAGACCATATTTTGGAGGTGTCTCAAGCGGAATGGAAAAAATGTTTTGACAAGTGGTTCGAACGCATGCAAAAGTGTATAGATCATAAAGGAGAATATTTTGAAAAACAATAAATGACAAATTATTGTTTTTTTATTATTATTTTTATTATTAGGCTCAAAATATAAATAGTGCCCCTCGTATCGGGTAATGTTCCTTATAAGTAAAATGTGTAATATATCTTTATTTAGATTTAATATTGAGGATTGACACTATTGACAGTATTATCAATGGTTCTGTAAGAATTAGGGCGAATATTGACATTATTGATATTCTGTCGCGTTGCACGAGTAGTTCCATCGGTTAAGGATTAAACGTGAAGGAACTAAACATGACCTCCGAGGAGTCGCATTAAATCGATGTCGGTTCGTCGGATGAATTTTCCTATGAACTACGACGCCATTCGACTCACAAGAATAAGAAATAAAATATTCAACATAATATTCTCGATGTAATGGAAGAAGATTGTTTTCCTTACCTTTCATTTTCGCAATACCTGGCATCGTCGTGTCAGTGAAAATGTCACGTCGTTTTTCTTAAAAATGCAAAAACACCTTGAATGTCGGCTGGTGTATGACGGCCAGGCTCTCGACCTGAACCCAGCAATTGGTAACCAAGGTCCGGAGCCGTCGTATCTCCCGAGACTGGAAGTTAGCGACTTCGAATGTTCGACGGGCGTGAAACTTGTCGCAAGCGAAACGTTAAAGAGCCGAAGCTTCGTCTCTTGCCTTTCAAGTCCTTCGCTCCGGACGCGGGACGACGAACTGCCTTCCGCTTCCTCCGGCCTCCCCATTCCCCGTCCATCCATCCTTCTCGAGAAACTCTCCTGGAACCGTAATGGTCCTGCGACTTGACTCACCGTCGCTCCTCGATTCTCCGAAGTTGGCGTTTATATGGTCCGAAAATGGATAGACCATCCCTCCATAATCGTTGATCGGTATTCAGTTCTCGCTCGCTCCTAACCATTCCCGCGTCCCTTGCCGTAGTCCAGAGTAGTCCTCCGGACCTGCTAACTCCCAAGCACTCCTTGGCCTCGTCGATCTCTGTGCATGCTCAGTAGGGTGCGAGGGAGAGTCGCTCTTCATTTCGGCCGTGCCACAATGGCTATGTAGATGTTCCAATACTAGTGAATTGTTTCCTCACTTGATTCGAAATTGGTACGATATTTACGAGATTACACCCTATTCTACGCCTTGCTGAGAGAAACGAGCATGTTTGCGTGAAATTGCACCGACAGAGATAAACTTCCGAACAAGTAATAATTGATAAAAAATCTTATAATAAATTTAAATTTAATAGTTGATTATAAAAGTTTCGTTTTTCTGTCATACAAGATATTTCAATAAAAAATATACACATATAAAACAAGTGCTAATTTTCTAGTTCTAACAACTATATAGATGTGAGAAAAATTTGTTAAATTACAGTGTTAAATTTAACACATTTTACTTGTCTCAAACAATCCATCTAAATTTTTGTGTTAATTTAACTTAATTTAACTTAATTGTCTCGTTTTTATTAACGAGAAAACGTTGAAATATTTTTTTTCTTGACGAAGAACATTGATCTGAAAGGTGGCGATCTATGGAGAAGGATATTCAGCAAGTTCGTACCGGACGAAAGAAGAAGATTTATCCAGATATTCAGAAATCAATGGCGCAACCGACATCGCCGTTCAAAATTCTCGATCATGTCTTCAGGCCCCACTATATCCTCGTGATTCAATATCCGGATGAGAGCCGGCAGCTCGTGATAACGACTCTCAGCATGTACAATCCAAAGTTTCGCAAGGAACAAGTTGGACCGTTCTCGATGACAAGAGACGATCTCACAATTAGAAAGTATTACAGACCCATAATCGAGAAGGCGAACTATGTCATGGAGCCAAAGATACTCATCGGTACTGTCGAAGGTAAAGCGACTTACGTAACATTTTCTTACTCAATTTCCGATCGTTGGCAGGTTGAGACAAGCGACACGATTATACGAGTTTATTAATGCAATTTAGATGTGAGATTAAATACAATTAATTATATTTGAATTTCTCTAAATAAGATTGATCTAATTTGATATTAATGGCAGTAAAAAGTGGATTAAAGCATAAACGACGGCAACAGGTGATTTTGGTTGCGTAACGTGGACCGGCTACGAATTCACCATCGATGCGGGCATGAATCGCGAAACGGCACGATGGCTCTGGATGAAGAAAATGCACGATGGACCGGTTACGCACGTGGTCAGATCCAATTATTACCATCAGGTGGTGGTCACGGTGGGAGGCAAGATCTTCGCCGTGTGGCGGGACGATTTCGTCGAGCCGCTCGTTTGGAAAAAATCCAACGTTAGGTAGATGAAAAATTCGCGCAGGATCATCTGACTAAAGTAAACTGAACCTTCGCTTCCGCGTCAGAGTAAACTCCCGGGTGTTAAGTGATTCTCGCCATGCAGAGAAGACAGAATGGCAATAAAAATAAAAAAAGGGAAAGAGAGGAAGAGAGTTGTTCGTCTTGAAATAAACACGAACACGAACGAGAATTGCATGCGGAGAAATTACTTCTCAAGAAGTAACGTCAATATCGCGAGAGTTAACGAAACATGGTCATGAATATACATAAACGCGGTAAACACACGGCTCGCGCAAGTTTTGTTCGCGTTTCATTCGGAATAAAAATAACGAGTGCGAGCGCACGCAATAAATTGCCACAGTGTAATTGCGACGATAGCATTTCGTATTGCCCGACGTACAAGCATTGAAGCGCAACGCCCGTCTGCTCGCTCGTTTCACGCGCATAGTTTTCGCTGGTAAAAGTCGAACTTTGGGTATGATCTGCATGATAATATGATTATAAGTTACATTTACAGCCTGCGCGTTTTACTATTCCGTTAATGAAAGCCTGCGTGTTTTACTATTTCGTTAATGAAAACTATTTTCGATGTATGGCCGCACACAGTCGACCTGGCTCAACAGTCGTTATCGGATATGTTGTCTAGTATGCCCACATTCTCGCGATTCTAACACTTGACAGACGGTTTGTTCTATCTCATTAACTCTATATAGTTTTAATTATTTTAGAGAGACAGCGACACATCTTCTATTTAAAATTATCTCAAAAAATCAGTTCTCAAGTACAGGACAACAAAAAATTTTGTTATAAAGTTTTGTACTTAATTAAATTATTAACGAGTATTTATAAAAAAAAACAAACTCTGAACTATTATAGTTCACATTCAAATAGGTATATAACTGTTTTAGCTTTCATACAAAAGCTTTAAGATGCTTCGCCTTATTAACGTAAAAAACAGGAAACAGCATTGATTTAAGCTGATCAGCGTCACTATTGTCTTTAACCAAATGCAGCTACTCGGCATGCTCATGGGGAATTATACGTCCAACTGTTTTGATCTTGGGACGAATAGACGGTACCATAGAAATTTGGGATCTCGAAGTCAAGAGTCACGAGCCAAGCTTCGTGCAGAGTCTGTCCGGACGGATAATTACAGGCATCTATACTCACGAGTTACCGCTGGAACCGCAGTGTATTGGATTTTGCGACTTCAATGGCTCCTTAAGGACGTTCACGGCGCCGCGTGTCTTACTGACATACGACGTGGGCGACGTCGAGTGGATGAAAAAGTTCATCGACCGACAGGTTCAAAGGGTGAGATAAAAAGGAGCGTGACAGCGATATATCTAGAATGATATCGATTAAACGTCTAAACGAAATAATTTGAGATTTATAATATCAAAAGTAAAACGTTATTAAATAAAAGAATTGTATTATATATATTTAAAAAAATAGTAATTATATTAGTTATCGAATCCAATAATTCCGTAACAAAATAATTAACTGAGTTTTATTACACAAAAAAAAATTTTACTAAAGTATTTAAAAATCGGATATCTGAAAATAATTTTGTCGGACTATGAAAATAATTATGTAGGAAATTCATGATCAATATATATGATGAGCATTGCTGAAAAAGTTTTGACTAGTAACCAGTTTAAGCGTCCTACAAAATTATTCTGGTAGCTCAAAAAAATTAATCTCAAATCTATATCTAGCTAAATTTTTAGATACTCCAGTAAAACCATTTTTTCCGTGTAGTAATGATATAGTAGCCGAAGGGGTAATAAATCTCATAATTTCACAACGTTACGTACAACATGTGTTACATTACATTTATGTTATTGAGTATAAAATTATAATGTTGATGTTATGTTACTTCTAGTTGGTGTTTATTGAGATGTGAATCTCAACGCGTATACATATTTACTAACTTCATAAAACTTTATGCTTTTATAAGACGAAAATATACCAGAACTTAATAGAAATTGTAAAAAATCTTTCTTTCTTTGCACTGTTACTTTTATAGTAATTTATCGTAAATTTTACTGCTAACAGTAATACAAATTTTTTCGAACCTTGTATCCGTATATGATTGTCTATTTCCATATATGATCAGATAAGCGAGTTTCGAACCTGGCAAGAATCATGGTGCGAATCAAACCTCGAGGATATCTTGATGAAGAAGAAGTTCAGAAAAATAAAAGAGGAGAAAAAGCATCTGGAGGCTGAGGAGAAGATTAAACCTGACACGGTCGATGTGGCGACTCGTGTAACTACACCTACAAGACCTGCGGTATACGATCAACTTAATATTCCACATTAACAAATAATTCAATGACTTTCGTTCCATTCATAGCGCCGCTTCGGGCGGCAGTTCGCACTACGTAATCGCACCTGAGCGAATCGAACGTTTACAGCCGTGTAAATAACGGTGCTTCGTGAATTCCTGGTGCCAGTCGATTCAGTCGAGCACATCCAGAACAGAGAAAAGGAAACCGATCTTTCTTCTTTTACTAAGTTAATTTCGTACTATTCATAGCGTCGGAAGCCCTGGCAATTCATCGAGGAAGCCAGAGAACGGTGGATGTCAATGGAAGTAAAGCGCATGCAACGACTGATCCTGGAGAAAAAAGGGCTCAGAAAGGACGTCCTCGAGAAGCAGCGCGCGCCGGTTCTTAGATTGCGACAGGAGGCGAGGACAAAGAAGCGTAAGATACGCGAGATCCTGAGTCTGCAGGACAGGATCTTTGAGGAAACCATCGTGTTCCTCTTCCCGGAGCAGCATCAGGAGCGCAGAGAAACTTTGTTGCCGCCTTTGCCAGTTTCTGCGGCCGACAGACGCTTAACGATCGACGAGTTCATTAAGAAGGAAACCGCTCTTCGAAAAGAAGTACGTCAAGGGAAACAATTAATCTTACGGCCATCCTTTGCAAATAATTAACACGGTATTGTGCTTCATAAATAAAACACTCGCTCAAATAAAATGTACATTACGACGTAAAACGATATAAAATATCGATATGATAGCGCACAAACAATTAAATGTGTTGTAGTATACGTTTTAGAGACTATGTAAAACGAAAAATATAATTTTTTTTTATATTGTTTATGTCGCTTTTTTTATAAATTTTCCGTTTATATATATATATATATATATATCGTTGTTTTATTAATCGGTTTTTATTTATTTCTTTGTTCTTTATTTATTTATTTTTCTACTGAAAAAGATTGTACAAAACTGTTTCTAATATGCCATTAAAATAAAAGTTAATTATAACTTTTATTTAAAAAAAAAAAGGTGTATATAAAAGCACGACTGAATCTTTCTATTTTAAAGAGATATTTAACATTTTAATAATGAATATATGAATACAAAAATGAAAAAATGAGCAAGAAAGAACGTAAGTTAAAAGTTACCTATGATATATCTTTAACTTACACTTTTTTCTCTCAATAAAATATTTATCTTCCAACACAAGTGTGCGAACAACATTAAACGCTAATTATTTTTTCTGTAAAAAGGACGTTTTTGCTGATTCTGAGGAAGAAATTATATACAATTTTCTGGAAGTACAAGCCGAGGCTCTGGCCAAATTAAAGAGCACGCCTTTCGAACGCACGTTCGACTGGCGCAAAGTACTCGCGCAAGGAAAGTCGAGGAGAAGATCGATGGACATCGAACTCAAGAAGTTAAACAGACTGAAGAAGACGTGCAAAGTGGACGGTGCTGTAAACGATGCATCACGTCTTGTCGGCAACGTATAAAAGGTGTATGAAGATATAGCTCTATTTTACATTTTGATTTGTGTTTTGTTCATTTCTGAGATACCAGATTTGTAACTCAGATTTATGTGAATTTGTTTTTCGCTCGTTATATTTACGAAGAGAAGAGAATTCTCTGGACAGAAGATTAATTTGATGTGCTAAACAGCATGACATAGCAATTTCTGTATCAATTTATTTTCCAGTTGCACGATGCTAAAAGTTCGAACGCGCAACAACTATTTTTGATAAGTTTAGGTAACTACATGCGATGTATCATAATTCTGTAGCGTTGTTCCATGAATCTACAGTCATAATACATTTTAACAGAGCTACAGCCATTTTTCTTTCTAGAAATGCCCTTGTGATTCTAAAATTACATCCATAATTTTGATTACATTTCTGATAATGCATGTCCTAATGTAATAGTATTGTTGGAAAATGAAACTACGTATCCTCGTGAGTGTCGTGTAAGTTTACTCTTAGGGGTTCCTTTTAATCCCTTTAATCAATACCGCTACATTACTTGCAACTGTAATGGCTACCTTTGAAACAAGTAAAACTCAGAGTCTGCAAATATAATTTAATTTTGTGAGTTTACCGAATAAAAGTAGCATATAAGAAAAGAACAAGATATTGCGATTAATTCTTTTATCACTATATCTGAAGGAAAAAGAATACATATTTTTATATACTTTCAAGTGTCGTAGGATCTAATATGCACGTCATCACGATAATTAAATATCTATAAACAGAAGACATACATGACAGGGAAGGAAATAGAACGACTGGATAAGATAAGAGACTGTAATATTTTTGTCACGAATATCTTAGGTTGTTATACATGGAAATTCAACTTCATATCATCAATCTTAAAGTGATTTTAAGAAAGGAAATTATAAATTCATCTTATTACAGCAATTTTAAGAGTATATCATTTATATGTTTCTAGTTTATTTGTAACAATCTGATAATACTCATACACTGCAATGAACATGTACGAAGTAATTACAGTAATGAGACGGGTAAAAGGGAAAATGTGACAGTTAACGGAGACTGACGATCTTCGCTTCGGCGATAAAAGTGACGTAAAGGAATGTCTGGGAGTAGAGAGGACGAAAGGATGGAAAGTAGGAGTTGGGTCGGCAGCTCGACGATTTTTCATAATTAAAGCGGATTAAAACTCAGCAGCGGGACCGTAAATGAATTTGAAATTTCAAACTAGGTATGCTCTCCTTTGCTTCTCCGTCGCGTTCCCGCCCTCCTTTTGTCATTCTTTCCCGTCATAAACGGATCTGCGAGGGACCGTGGTCACCGTGGCGCAACTTGTATGCCGAGTTTATCTGCTTTTATTTCCCCGGAGTAGCACACTTCTCCGATTTAATTTACTGTCTTATACTCCTTTGGCACGAATGATACTTTCAACCTTTAAACACACAGAAAGAACAGTTTTGCTGGAGGATCTAAAAATTTAGCTAGATACTATGAATCTGAAAATAATTTTATTGACCATCAAAATAATTATGTATGAAGTAACCTTAACTTTGCCCTATTGACTTACTCACATTGTCAAAAATATTTGATAAAATTATTTATCATGTTTGAACATCTTACATAATTATTTTGATAGTTCAACAAAATTTAAATTTGTGTCTAGCTTTTAGATACTCCAACAAAATTATTCTTTCCGTGCAGATAGGGATACTCGCAATACATTTGAAAATTACCTGGCAATTGGAATTAGTTGAACACGAAAGCACGGAGTGTACTCTAAAAATAATATCTGTAATTGTGGATAAAATAAATTTCCACACAGTGTAAAAGCAGTACATTGCTATTGTTCAACTGCACACTGTGTTAAAGCTTACAATGCTATTACTCAAAAGTTGGTACAGCTCTAAACAAAATAAATATGTGAGCACATATTTAAAAAAAAATTTTCTCGGTTATCAATGTTGCGATATTTTTTTTCAATATTTTATCTATCTATATGCTGTTTTTCTACATTTGTATCGATACGCAAGATAGCTGGATTTAGCAACAGAGCAGCCTATGTCCAATGTTTGAAACATTGTAGCAACGGGACGAGTGGCTAAAGGACGAAAGCGGTTTTCGACCGAGATCGAAAACAGTTTTGTATGGGAGGGGGGGGGGATAAGTTGTAATTATTCAAAATAGCGATGCTTTGTTCTGATCCATGTGTCAGATGTCGCGGGATGTCGACTCTCATTTCGCCCAACCCTTCCACCGCCACGTAATTCTGCCGTTGAAAGGTGAGTCTGCACGTACTTCCCTAATGGCGATAATGACCGTATAAAAATTTACGCCGCGGGTAAAAACAAAGAGCAACAAAAGAAGTCTGACCCGATAAGGGGGAAAAAGATGATTTTCCTCCACTTATATATATATATATCCACACGACGCAGTTTCATAGATATCTATTAAGAATCATATCTCAAAGCATTATTAAAAATATACAAATTTCATAGATTAATTTATAATAATACATAAATTAATTTAAAATGATTATCAAGAATTTGAAACACGTAACGTTGCCGTATAATATAATTTTAGATGCTGAGTGTGAACACTCAAAAATTATATTTATTCATTACACAAATTGGAGATCCAAATTTTTATATTAATTTAACACGAGATGAATATATTAGTAACACAAATATTATGTAAAAATTAACATAAAAAATTACTTGAAAATAAATTGTGAAAAACATATTATTATCCTTTTATGTTATTAAACTTTTAATATAAATACAAAATGTTTTTACTGTGTATTCTTAATATGTCAGCAAAGAGAATAAACGAATAGGAACAATTCAGATTTCTAATTATTTTTACATATAAACTTTATAATAACTCGGGAGGGTTAGTACACCTAGAGACATACGAATTTTCCTCGATAACCCTTACTAGGCGAAGGTGAAGAAAACGAGCGGGACGGAAAGAATGGAACGCGAATCAGGAGAATAGGTTAATAAATAGCAACGGATTATTACCTAAATGTAAGAGTCGGAACATGGCTGCCGGGCACGCGGCAAGTTTCCGAAACTATCCGCACGACCTTCTGCAACTGACTGTCGCCTTATTGCCTAAGTTCGGAACATCCCAGAGGGTGGGTCACGTTCGTTCCTGCGTACAAGTGTTTCTCTATTTTTCTACGCTTGCTTCCACCTCCTCTCTTTTCTACTTCTTGTGCTCTTCCTTTTTGGAATTCGCTTTGTCCCGAACGATCAAAGTTTTCCCCGGGCCGGTCATGAACAGTATGCGCCGTGCGGGACGATCGTTTTCGCAACTTTTCTCCCACGTCGCTTCCTTCCGCCCTCGAGCATTCGGTTCGTTTATCCAACTGAAAATCATCGACAATGCGGAACATTCGACATTAGTTCAAATCTCACGTTCGTAAAATCCATTGGGCGATTAAACAACTGGATGTTACGTACATACATATTTTATTCTATATACTGCATCAGAAAAGTAAATCGGAGAAAAATTGGTAAGAGAAGATATATAGCCACATACATATGTGATAGTAAAAATTCTTCTCTTGCACGATCAGCGTGATGTATGCGATGATGAATCGGCTGATGCATCACACTACTTGAATTGATTACGTAAGAAAATGCGTTTGTTTCATTTCTTTGAGTGTCATGTTATATATTTCATGTTATCCATTTACGTACATTCCTATTATTTGCAGCAGTTCATGTAACTTGTACAGATATTTTACAAATGCTCTTAACAAAAACATCTTTTGCAAATGTTAAATTCTTGTATTTTCCGCTTTCTATTTGTAATTTTTGCTGGAGCAAATTCACAATGTGATGCTACTGATAGAAAACGATTAGATGTCACAGCTCAGATTACAAAAAAGACGAACCTATTTGATTTTTATGAAATATCTTTCAATTTTATAATATCATACAAAATTTAACATTCTTATCTAAGAATATAAAAAATCCAACATTTATTTTAAAAGACGAATTACTCAATATAACGCAATAGCTTGAAAAGATACAATTATTATTTTTATTAACACCAAAGAAAAATGAAAAAATTAGAAGTGTCATATTAACTTACTTTTTTGTGTACGTTGTAATGCACTTAATTTTGTTGTGAAACAGCAGCGTTTTATATTTCTAACGCGGAAATGCAAGAAAATATTATCACCTGATTTTAAAATGATTTTAGAATTTAGATGATGTTAAATGGTCTCTTTTTTTCATCTATAAAAACACAGGCGATGAATGTGGGAAAAAAGAGCGACTTCTTCCGTCGCGCCGTAATATCGACGTTGACAGTGCGACAGGCGCGAGACACTTTTAATTCTCTGCCAATTAATCTCTCAAATCCATGAATTAGTCCCGATTCGGGAACCACAGCTGTCCGTGGGCGGGAGCGTGCGAGAGGAGGCTTTTCGGCGATACCGTCGCGCCAGTATGCGCGAGTGATAACGAGGCTCGTAAAATTGCTACGGTGAACGATGGACGCGTCGATTATTGACGCAGCTGGGATTTGCCCGATACCAAAATCCGGTATAAAAACCGTCGACCGTTCTGTTCACTTCGTCCGGTATTTACTCCGGCGGATCAATTTTTAACAATACTCTTCGCGAATCGGTAACGAGAGATGTAGCTCGTTATAAAAAGAAAAAAAGTATATCATCGATTACATTGAACGATTACATCGATCCCCCTTTCCTCGATATTTTACGGTTTCTGTCGCAACAATTGAAATTTTCCACGAAAATATTGTGATAACATCCTTGCGAAAAATTGCGATACGACGTGCTTTCTTTTGACACTTAACAAACGCTTGCTGTCTGTTCAATTTTATTTATAGATAAATAACATGTACGATTTAACCCTTCTCCAGCAATTAAGGGGTCATTCATATTTTGATCATTTGAATTTTCCCAGTAAACAGGCTGTGCACAATTTCGGAACATTTACATAGTGTATATAAATGTTACAGAACAGCACACGAAC